ATGTAGATTAATATTTTGAATCCATAATGCTCTTCGTTCTATATCTGCTGGAAAACTCCTCATTGAAAAACCTTTTTCTGTTGAATTGTGACAATTCGGTATGCAGCAGCCAGGCATTTTTTTTACAAAATACATAATTTTTAATGACCATTCAATATAATATTAAAGGTTAAAAAATGTTTGTGATAGCATTAAAATGTATTTTAAATATATTTTAACCTTTTCGCTCCGGGGATTTTTCCTTTAAAATTGACCTCGCATTTTAGCTGAAAAAGTTAATAATAACCTGCTACCCCCCCTTTCAAAGTTAATTTTAAAGGTCAAAGAAGTAACCAGGATTTTTTTCAATTTTTTTCCTAAATTTAGTGCATTAAATTGACCTTATAAACATCTATTACGTTTGCTTTTCTTGCTGGTCCATATATGGACCAGTCCCGGAGCGAAAAGGTTAACCAATGGAAATTCGACCTTATAGCCTAGTCCACGGATGGAAGTGGTGTAAAAAATGTTAAACGTATTATTACGGGACGTTTCGATCGGTTTTAATTTTTGATCATCATCAGCCAACTTGTGAAAAAATTTTTTACATTAATAATAAATATCATAAAATTGACAAAGGATAAAGAAGTAATACAATCATAAATACAAGATATACAGGGTGTTTCAGAACTATGGGATCAAACTTCTAGGGGTTATTCAGTGCAACAGTAGAAAACATTTGAGTATAGGGACCCATGTCCGGAAAAGTGTCACTACCGCACTACGGCCCTAAGACGCGTTAAAATTTAGAAAGACGATGAATTGCATAAATAGAATTTAATGCATTTAATGTTTGCCTTTTGTACATGATATCATCACAACAATTGTTCAAAATGTCTTCCTCCAACCTGAATACACCGATTTAAACGTCGCACGTNATTTCGGCGGACTTGACTAAAAATTTGATACTCGTTTTGAATGATTTCAAATGCTGCTGTAATTCGTCCAATTAAGTCTTGTTCTGTTTCTACTGGAGTTTCGTAGACCAAAGACTTTACATGTCCNCACAGGAAAAAATCTAGCGGCGTTAAATCGGGTGACCTAGGAGGCCAAGAAACTGCTCAACCTCTGGCAATCCAACGGTGTCCAAACCTTACAGATTGACTTACCAATGCTGAGTCGGTAAATCTATCTGTTTTACCCGCATGAATTATTGCACCGCACTGTACAAAAGGCAAAAATTAAATGCATTAAATCCTATTTAGGC